TTTTTTTTTAACCTTCTAGCTCAGTGGGATGCTGTTCTGAAGTTGCTTTCCTGGGGGCTGCTACTGTGACCCTTTGTTCACTTGGTTAAAGAGGTCGGATGCTTCATCCATTCAAAGACGCATCCATTCTACGATGTATTGTGCACTGACTGCGCTAGAGGCTGTGACTGCAAAGGAGGAAGATGCACTCTGCACTCCAGGAACTTCCCATTGGTCGGGGAGAGACAAGTATGCTTGGCAATTGCAATAACACGGAATTGAAGGTAAAGTGTGGTTAAACTCTGGGTGCCTCGGGAGCACTACTACCTGGGGTACAGAGGGGACACTGGGAAGGATGGGATTTGGGCTGGGAGTCAAGAAAAAGCAGGTATGCCCAGGGGAGATGGATGTCCTGTGATCTAGCTCTGCTACGAGAATTCATTTTTCCTTTTATAATTCACAGAAACAAAATAAATAGACAAAAAAGCTAGCTTATACCTCATCACGTTTTCGAGAATTAGCAACATATACCTGTCAACACCTTGCAGACGTGTGCAGTAATAATTGTAAAATCTAGCACAAAGCCCAGGATTAGGCTTTCCTGAATCATTTTAAAGTCATTAATTCACAGACTCACATACTCACATAACGTTAATACTAAAATAGAGCTAAGACATCTGTTTCAGTGCAAAGCCTTCATGGAGGAGGAAAGTGAAGCCCAGAGAGTCAACGAAAAGAAGACACGACCGCCAAAATATTAGAAATGTTTTTCTTGAGATTTCCCTTCTTTACTTGGCTGCTTTGTCACCTGTGAGTGGGTGGGATTAAGACACCTTTAGAGAATGTGTTCAGCTTATGGACTCACAATTCTTGCAGTTATCTATAGGATGACACCTACGAGTCAGCCGAATACGTTCCCTCGTTGCCTCTCCATGCAGATACCCATTTTGGTTAGATGCTGTGACAAAAAGGCGCAGGAAGGGGAAGGAGTATTTGCCCTAGGGGTCAACTTTTGAAATTTAACTGATGAACTAATATCAATTCCATGGACCCAAGGAAGCTTAAACCAAGGTGAAATTTTAAGATAATTATATTTTAGGATCTATATGGGCTGAGACAATTATGTTAGTGCTTGAACAGAGGCTGCATGAGTAATCTGCAACTGGAAAATGAACTATTAAAACAACAAATGACTAGTGTTTCATAAAGTTAATTAAATTTCAAAAGTCTGTCACTAATGTAACCGTAAGTAAAAAGCTGTGCTGTAACTCTTTCAAAGCTGACTGACCAGGAGGTGAAAAGTCTAATTTAGGATCATTTAATATTTCAAAAACCTCTTAAATATGCCATGTGAAAAGGGAAGAGTTTAATAAATAACATTTTTCTGTATTAACAATATAATACTATAGCAATGCTGTCTAATAGAGATATAATACAAAACACGGATGTTATGTTAAATTTTCTAGAAATGATAAAACCAATTTTTTAAAATTGTAGTAAATACACAGAACATCTGACTGTTTCAACTCTTTTCATGTGTGCAATTCAGTGAAATAAAGTACAACTACACTGATATGCAACCATCACTACTATTTCCAGAACTTTCCCATCATCCCCAAATGAAATTCCATGCCCACTAAACAATTCTCCCATCATTTCCTCTCCCCAGCCGTCGATAACCCTATTCTACTTTCTTTTTCTATGAATCTGGCAATTCTGGGTACCTCATATAAGTGGAATCCTAACAGTATCTGTCCTTTTGTGCCTAATTTATTTCACCTAGCATGTCTTCATGGTTCATCCATATTGTAAGATGTAACAGAATTTCAATCTTTTTTAAACCTGAGTAATACTCCATTGTATTGTATACTGCAGTTTATCTATCCATCGATGGACATTTGGGTTGTTTCTACCTTTTGGCTATTGTGAAGGTAAAAAAAAAATTAGCATATCTGTTTTAGCCAATATATCCAAAGTATTATCATTTCAACCTATAATGAATATACAAATTATTACTGAGATATTTTACATTAGTTTTCTAATGTCTTTGAAATCCGCATGTATTTCATAATTACAGCATATCTCCATTTGAATTAGATACACCTTATGCTCTTAATAACCATGCATGGTTAGTAGTTAATGTACTGGATAGCACGGCTCTGTAGGCGAGTTTGCATTCAAGATTTTGTAAATCATGATTCCCTCTGGATACCACCCTGATGAATAATTCTACTTGTTTTTTCTCATATAGCCCTAGTGTTTAGAGTTGGACCTCTGAAGTCAGACCAAATGAAATGCAGATCCCAGTCTCTTACTAATTAGCTCAGTGATGTTGAAAAGATTACGTAATCTTTCAAAACCTCAGTTCCATTTTTTGTAAAGTTGGAAAAAAATACTGTTTCTCCCATAGGGTTTATGTCTGATTTAAAATCAAATAACATAAATAAAGTGCTTAGCGTACTTAATGTAGTGTTGCCAAAGTGTGATGTAATAAATAGCAACTATAATAAAAATAATCCACTGGATTATAGGTTCACGAGGGCAAGGACTACATCTGTCTTTCCCAGTGTGCCTGACGCATGGCAAGCACTCAATTATGTGAATAAATAATTGAACTCTTCCCTCAGTCTTTATGAACATTTGTTTCCATGACATCTTTATATCTTCAAGAGATTGCTTGATGATTTCTAATACCCACCTTGCCATGAAGATACAGATACTTTAAGGTATAGAAAGAACAGGAAGCTCTTATTCTCATCATTTCCCTTTCTTTTTTATTTAAAATATTTTGACTACTTCCTTTCCTTTTCCTTGAGAAATCAGGGATGATGGAGCCAAAAAGACTAAGGGCTAAAGAGGCCCCTACCCACAGGGGCAATGAGCAAATATATGAGTAGTCTGAGGATAACAGAAACCACCTTATCCTCACTGTTGGGGAAGGGAGTTACAAATATGGAAAGGGTTAAAAGCTAGTTTGCTGCTGTGGTGTTAGATTGGAAATGGAACTATCAGGGTGATCTCATACTATTTAATATGAATAGATATAACAATAGATATAGCCCCATGTGTGTTGTGTGTGTGTCGTGTGTGTGGTGTGTGTGTGGTATGTTATGTGTGTCGTGTATGTGTCGTGTGTTGTGTGTGTGTGTTTCCTCACCTATTACCTGAGAGGGCCTGGAAGCAATGAGCACACTCAATCCCCAGTTCTTGGTTTCTAAATACTATTTTCCACAATGGATGGAGGTCTTCTTGAAGATATGGCTAATTCCACAGCTGGGTATAGAAAGTACAAGATGCTCATGGAACATTTTTTTGTGCCAGAAGGTAAGAAAGTGCTCATAAAAACATGAGGGCCACATCTGAGATCATTTGAGCATTAAAATAAATAATGATATTAATGAGTCATAACTCGTTCAATAAAATAGCAATTTATGAGCTCATATTGATATAAATAAACACAAACATAAGTGGGGAGAAGGGAATGCCCTTCCTCACACTAAGAAAGTTTATGTAAGAGCAATATCTTTACCTAGTCTCTAAGTATCTCCCCACAAATTATTTATTAACTGCAAAAGGAAAAACTATAATATTACAGTGACGAAATCTAATAGATACCACCTTAAGCAAGTGGGTTTGGTTATAAGACTAACTCCATTTATGGACTCCTGATATGATTTAGAAGAATACAGCATTGTTTCTGTATTATTCCTGCCACATACACAATTGCAATCTTACAGTGAGGAAACATCACGCAAATCTAAACTGAGGAACATTCTACAAAATGTACTCCAAAAAAATGTGAAGGTACACAAAAAAAAGAAGACTACAGAACTGTTCAAGACTGAAGGAAAGCAGAGACAAGACAGCTAAATGCAACACACAATTGTGGACCAAAAGAAAAAAACCATTTTTTTCTATAAAGGATATTACTGAGACATTTGGTGAAAAGTTGAATGGAATCTATGGATTTGAAAGTAAAGCTGATTTACTGAATTTAATTCAGTAAATTTAATTACACTGTGGTTATGTAGAAGAGTATACTTGTATTTTTAAGATAATCATACTAAAGTATATAAATTAATTCAGAAAAAAAATATACACACACCCAAATAAACCCATAGGGTGGAAGGGAGGATAAGAGAAAGAGAGAGAGAGAGAGAAAAGGAGAGAGATAACATAATCACTGGTAAAATGTTAAAAACTGACCTGCCGGGCGCGGTGGCTCACGCCTGTAATCCCAGCACTTTGGGAGGCCGAGGCGGGTGGATCACGAGGTCAAGAGATCGAGACCATCCTGGTCAACATGATGAAACCCCGTCTCTACTAAAAATACAAATCATTAGCTGGGCATGGTGGTGCGTGCCTGTAATCCCAGCTACTCAAGAGGTTGAGGCAGGAGAATTGCCTGAACCCAGGAGGCGGAGGTTGCCGTGAGCCGAGATCGCGCCATTGCACTCCAGCCTGGGTAACAAGAGCGAGACTCCGTCTCAAAAAGAAAAAATAAAATAAAATAAAATAAAAACTGGAGAAGCTGGGTGAAGAGCATATGGACTATTATTCTTGTATCTTTTCTATAAGTCTGACATTATCTTGATGTTAAAAATGAAAAATAAAGAGAATGGGCTTTGGAGTAACTCAGAGTCAATTTTGAGTCCCCAGTCTTACATCTATCATCTGTGAGAATCTAGGAAGTTATTAAATTATTCCAATCTTTGGTTTTCTCATTTGATCACCAGGAATAGAACTAATTTAAAGGGATTCTGTGAGGATTAAATTAGATAATGCATGACTTGAGCACCTGGCAGCTGGTAGGCATGTCTGGAAGAGGATCTGATACATAATGGGGCTGAAATATGTATTTGTTGAATAAATGAACAAAATCTCCCCTTCTATTCAACCCCTCAATCTGAACAAGTGATGCTAAGTACTTAAGGAAAATTAGAGGCTTCAAATTTTAGCGATCTTTCTTAACACTTACATAAAAGAAAATGTCAAATAATAATAATGAATAAGAAACATACCACCATGCATTCCGATGTTGCTCTAGAGTTTCCTCAGCACTTGGCCCTCATGTCCCCTGTGACACTAAATCGAACAGGCAGGCATTCAACTTAGAGTCCAACACATCGTTAATAACAGCCAATGTCTACAGTGCTATTGGAGTATGGGTGTCAAAGAAGGAGCCATGCCCTTGTTACTTAAATCTCAAACAAGGTTTACATCACTTCATGGCTTCAGGGTACAAAATGCGATGCAATTTAATGTCCATCTGAGCATCTGTTCGTAAGGTTTAGCGCTGCGGTCTGTGGTTCACAGTATACGTGGGATAGCAACACCACAAAGAAAAGGACCCAAGTTGTGTCTGGGAAGTTTCTACTCTCAGCCAAGATGTGCACATGAATTTAAAATTACCCAAGAGGGTGTTTCAGGGTTGCTGGCCAAAGAGTGGTGTCTTCTAATCTGGAGAGCAGCTGCTGGGCACAGGCATGCAAACACACACACAGACACACACACACACAGACATGCTCACGGAGCCTGTGCCTGCCTCTACTTGTCTGCTCTGGGCAGATGGTTCCTGGCTTTTGGGTCGCCTCATCCTGCAGCTCAGTGCAGTTAGACGCTTTCTTCCACAGAGACTGGCAAGCTGTGGAATAAGGGTTTGGGCAAGGCTGCCTGTCTTCAGAGCATGAAGGATACTGCCTGGAGAGGGAAGAGGGTGATATTTAGAGTTTGGGCCCACTTGTGGTTGGGCCCCCCGCTACCTCTCCTTTGCAGAGCCATCACTGGCCCCTGGCTGCAAACTCTCCGTGGCTTTCGAGCCTACAACACAAAAACTGAGAGTGTGTCCAGAAAGAGAAGAAGAAAACACTGCTGTTGGTCCTGGATCCCACTGTTGGATTTTGGTGGGGATGAGAAGGAATTACCAGGCGTGATCAACCAGCGTACCTGCACGGTAAGCTAAGCATCCCCATCCTTGCTGAGAAGAGGCTTTGGGATGTTTCTGTGTTATTCAACAGCTGAGAATGGCCAACACCACTTTCCAGAAGTGGGATCTTGTGAATATTATGCAAGGGAATGTAGTATGATTAAGAGCTCTCGTGATTTTTAGGCTAAAATGAGTAAGAGTTGCTTGCCAAATAGAGGAACTATCCTGACGGTAGATAAGTTTGACTAAATTAATAGACATGAAAGAAACCCAAAATGAAATTTTAAATTGTTATTCTGTTAAGAGTAAGATGAATAGTCAAAAATGAAAGAAAAAGCCAGTTTGATAGTTTTCCTTCTTCATAGCTTTTGTAAGCTGATGTGAATGATCAATATACAATGTGAAAATCATCAGTGTGTTGAAAATGGAGAAGTATACTGAATAGGTTACATTGTAGAGGAGGAATTCTCTTTTCATGGAGGGATTAATGGAAGAAACTAACATCTTCAAATGGCAGCTGGACTGTTATCTTTTTTCTTTTGTTTGTTTACCTTGTGTTGATGTAAAGATTTAATGAATGAGAGCCGCGGAACGGAAGCAGGTTTCTGAGGTAAGGTTTTTGGCAGGTCTTGGGGGGCATCTATCAAGAGCTTGCTCTGTAACAACCCACAGAAGATGACTGGATATCCATGGGCACATCACATCTGGATATAAATGGGAAATGAAGCTAGGCTGCGGCCAAATGATACCACAGAAAATTCTGCTCACTGCACTTGTTCAATGGGAGGATTATTCAATGTTGAGGGTGGCGGCACAGTCTTGTACATAGGAGCTCCATTGAAGAGACATATGTATTCAGTTAAAATGGCTGTGATATATTCAGTCATTCTTCTTTCTTTCCATACCGATTAATAGTTACATGCCTTTCTTTATTCATTGTCTGTTCACATCTCAGGAATGAATAGAAGAGGTGCAACACACACACCGTTTAACGACATTCACCGTCTTCCACGTGTGCATTAGATTTGCATAAAGGAGAACACGGTGTGGTTAATACTGGAGAGAATGCATTGAAATTATAGCAATGTTCCTTCAGCTACAGTTAAACATATTTTTCCTGTGGTGACATTTTCTGGTTTATTAAGATGCTGTCTCCCAAAACCAAATATTCCAAGTAAATATTTCTCTACATTTATCAGTTGACACTATTATGAAACTCTCATTATGCTTAATTAAAAATCAGCATAAATCCTGTAAGAGCTGTTTGTTATTAAAAATTTCTAAAGGCAGCAATAATATTCATGGGCTCTTTCCACCAGGGTAATTAAGGTCTACTCTGATGAGAATTTTCTAAGTAATTTCCCAAAGCAATGTGGGGAGCTTATACTAACCGATACAAAAATACTCTGTAAAAATTCTGGAGCAAAGAAAAGTATTCATTATTTAAAAGGGGAGTGATAATTTATTTTCAGAGTTTACCTTCTATTAAAGTTCATGTGTAATTGTCTTTTTTGCTTAAACTTTGTTAAATTAACAAATTTAGTCAAGGCTTGGTCTTAGGCAGTGGCGGCGGCACTGGGGAGGAAGGTATTTTCTTGTACCATTGAAATGATGGTGCCTTTAATAGAGCACGATTGTAGGAGGCTGCCATTGCAGCTTACCAAGAGTTAGGCAGGTCATAGGATGGAAAAAACCTAAAAGTAATGGGCCCTATATTCTTCTCTTCAGATTATAGTCATATTATTCCTTGTCCTAACCTAAAGCAAAATTTTCCTTACCAGTGTAATACATGCTTCACCTCTCTAATATATTACATTAAAAAAAATTTAAAGAAAAAGTGTTAGTAGCTTTTATTTTCCTTAGGTTAGAACTAGTACCTACTAGGCAACACACAATATGTTTGTTTAGTTATATTAGGGGAACACTTTTATCGTAATAGCTTCGTTTGTTTGCTCATTTGTTTATTCATTCATCAGCTATTTTGGAATGCCTAGTCTGTGCCACGTCCCGTGCTGGTTACTGGGGCTCTAACAGTGAATGAGGCAAACATGGTCTCCAGATGTCCTGAGTATAGGAATCTGCAGAGAGAGTCCAATCACCAGTGATTTGAACCTGTGTATTGTGCACGTTGTTCAACATGGATATGGAGACAATTTTGATACCATCTCAGCATCCATGAATCGAATTGGAAAACACATTTTAGTGCAAATAGTTGAAGCTTCTATGAGGGATGTTGGCGTTTCGGTGCAAGCTATAGATGTCAGACAAAAACCTCACATACTAACACTGTATGCTTCTTCAGATTTGGGTCAGACAGGAAGCCTAAGGAAGACAGACAAAAATTTGTATCATAGCCTCTTAGAAGTCTAGGGTTTGAATCTGACAGTAGTTCAAGATTTTCTGCTTAATGTGATGGTCAATCACTGGGGCCCACACTGGAAAAGCAGCCCTATCATGCTTCCTGTCTTGGTTGAGGACACTTTTCATAATGGCATTAATTACAACAATGTCAGTGTACAGCTACAGGGGTTTTATATGGTGTATAGAACTCACAAATCAGTTATTCACTGGATCCTATGTAGTAGAGAAGGCAGGTGTTACCATGCCCTGTTCAGCAGATGGATAAACTAAGTTTTAGATGTTCAAGGGACTAGCCCAGCTAATGTTTTCTCTAATACACAGCCTCATGGAATAATCTCTTAAATACAGGACTAGAAAAATTCTGTGTTTTCAACATGAGTACTTACAGGCCTGAACTATGGTTTGAAAGTGGCATTATCAAACTGTAAACCATGCAGATAGAGGAAAGTTCAGCCCCCCTCCCCCGACAACCCTCTTCCTGCCTCCATTGTTCATCTAGGTTCTTACCCTAGAGTTCTTCCTTTCGGCCCTTGAAAAATCAGTTTAACTGCTAAAAGAGATATAAGCTACTGCCTTTTTCTTCTTCTTTTTGGGTGGAATGAGGAATTAGAATATGGAAAACTGGGCTGTTAAACTCTGAAATTACTCCTAATATTATTGTAATGAAATAAAAAATTATCCTGAGTGGGCTGCGTGTGGTGGCTCACACCTGTAATCCCAGCACTTTGGGAGGCCGAGGCAGGTGGATTGCCAGAGCTCAGGACTTCGTGACCTGCCTGGGCAACATGGTGAAACCTCGTCTCTACTAAAAAAATATAAAAAATTGGCCGGGCGCGGTGGCTCAAGCCTGTAATCCCAGCACTTTGGGAGGCCGAGGCGGGTGGATCACGAGGTCAAGAGATCGAGACCATCCTGGTCAACAAGGTGAAACCTCGCCTCTACTAATATATATAAAATTAGCTGGGCATGACGGCGTGTGTCTGTAGTCCCAGCTACTCAGGAAGCTAAGGCAAGAGAACTGCTTGAACCTGAGAGGTGGAGGTTGCAATGAGCTGAGATTGTGTCACTGTCCTCCAGCCTGGGTGACAGAGCGAGACTCTGTCTCAAAAAAAAAAAAATTATCCTGAGTGATGAGTGATAAGATTTCAAAAGTTTGTGACTGTTTAGGACAGAAACAGTATATCCACCTACATGCGAAATGCAAATGGAATTTTAGTGCCACCAGCCTAGTAACGTAAAACACTGTCACATCAGATCAGACCATTGTCCACCCAGTCCAGACCCTGCTTCTCTTGCAAGCGTAAGTAGGCCCTTGTGAAAAAGCAGTGTATCATGAGTAAGAGGAGAAATTCACAAGACAAAATACTCTACATGGAAAAATAGTAAGCACAGGTAATGGAGCTGAGCAGAGCAGTAAATAGAGAAGGTTTTTCTGATGGATTTTGAGAGTTAAGCCACATAGCTAAGTACAGTCTATTATGACCAAGCAAATACACAAGACTTTATATCGTTTTTTATATTCTTCCCGGAATTTTCTGTGCATGTATTGAAAGTTTGTTGTAATTACAGAGGCTTTTAGCTACTTTTTTCCCTTTTTGTGGCTTGAAATGGATGACATGGATCTTCACGATGAATCTAGGGCCAATCACTTGACTAGGAAATTGGAATTCAGGGGAGAATAGCAAACTGGATAAAGCTGCTTCTGTGCTTCTCCTTAGAGCTGCTGCTCCTGGCCCTGAAACAACAAAATCACAGAGGCAGCTGCTTCTGAGCCATGATATTAAACTGACAGGTTGTGACTAGGGACACCAGCTCCTTGTTTCAGCTGCTCCTAACATCTCTAAACGAAGCTATTTTAAGAACCTTTGCATTTGATCAGGGAGCATGTGGGTTGAAGCCTTATGTTTTCCACTTCAGTTTTAGATTCTTAGCAGATGCAGTTAGTAGTTCAAATGTTTAAAACTTATTATTGCATTTCCTTCCAATCAATGTAAAAATATTATATTCCCAAAGCTACCAGAGGTCTATTCGTGACTTGATTTATCTTGGGGCTGGTTCTATCTCAGATGACATCTTCAAATCTTTCTTCTTCAAACAAGAACAAAAATGGCTGGCAACTGTTTGAAGGGTGGGTATGGGTAGAAAAGTTCTTACGGATTCTTTGATTTGGGGGGCGGTCATAAAGGAACATATCTGCAGATGCAAACTGCAGTGCCTATCTCTGCCCTCAATGATTCTTGAGTTTGATGCTTTTTAATTTACTTTAATAGCTAACTTATATATCATTAATCTTAGAATGTTAGGTAACAATATTTACAGTGGCTTCATTCATAATTGCCAAAACCTGGGAACAACCCCAATGCCCTTCAATTGGTGAATGAATAATCAAACCGTAGTATATCCATACTATGAATTACTCAGCAATACCAATGAAACACACAACAATATGGAACCTCAATTGCATTATGCTAATTGAAAGCACTCAGACTCAAAAAGCTACATCCTGAATGAGTCCATTTATACAACACTGTGGGAAAAAAAAAAAATCCCCAAAACTATAGAGACAGAAAACACATCAGTGGTTGCCAGCAGCTGAGGCTGAGGGGAGGAACTGACTTCGAAGGGTGAGCAGGAACATCTTGGGTGATGGAACCGCTTTATGTCTT